ATTATTATTATTTATTGTTACTACTCTTACTGTTATTATAGTCACTTTTATTACTGTTATCATTATCCTTATCATTACTGTTTTTACTATCTTTGTTATCACTTTTATCAACGTTTTCATTGTATTTCCAGCTGGGAGGAGGCGTTTGTGGGTATGAGCACCAAAATATTGTTCCCGGGTGTCGTAACTTCTGAACGCCACCACACGGGGAGGGAAGTTGGACGCCTCGGGAAAACAAGAACTCAAACTGTCTCACGCGGCCAAGCAAATAGCCCACCTGGCTTACACCCTGTTCCTCCGTCCACGTTCGTCCAGGACTGCCCCAGATTTTTAACACGGTAACAAATCTGGTTTGTAGGACGGTGGTTGGCGGGTGTTCTGTGTTGGTTTTAGTTAGTTTAGTTTTAGTAAGGTTTTACGGTGCTCGGCTCGCAACTGTATAAGGTCATATTAGCGCCAATGCGTTGGTTTGCTTCTTCTTTCCTATCAGACATTGGTCGTCCTTGTTTTTCCCTCTTCTTTAGTTGTGTGTGTGTGTGTTTGTTGTCCTCTTGTAACACCTCTAAATTTTTACACTAAATGCCCGTATTGTGTTGAAGATGTAGTAAGACGCGTACTAAAACAAAAACTACGTGTTTCCAACTGTCAGGTCTGATGTTTTCGTTTTGTTTTGTTTTGCTCTCGTTGGTTTATTTAGAGATCGGAATGTTTTAACCCCGTCTGTATGAGCAAACAAGGATTTTGTTGCTGTTGTTGATACTTTGTTGTTTGTTTCTTTTTTTTTCTTCTTTTTTTCTTGCTTTGTTTTTTTGTGTGTCTGTTTTTGTTGTTGTTTTTTGTTGTTGTTGTTTGTTTGTTTTTTTTTGGGGGGGTTGCTAGCAAGTGCTTTAATGCACAATAAGGTTTTATATTTACGGAGATTAAAGTGGAAACCTCGGATGCGTGCACTGCGTAAATATGGATTGGGAGGGAGGCTGTATTTCACTTTTATTGAAAAGTTTTGCAGTGTGAGATGTTGTGTAGAAAATGTAAAAGAAACGGAAGATGTGTGTCACAACTATACGTTTTCTGAGTCTCGGCAACTTTAGAGCATTAAGTTATGACGCTTTTTATATCATTTTAAACTCGTTCTTTTTTCTCTCTTTTGATGTCAAAACTACCTATTCATCTGGAACAGAATTAGCCGATACATAATGTGCAATTAAAGGAGTTGCTGGTCACCTGGTATCAGAAATAGAATTAGCCAGAAAATAGCCGCTAAATTGTTGTTACTGCTTAAGCGTCAGTGTCCTCGAAAACTGCACATTTACATTTCGTGTGTGTGTGTGCGCACGCGTGTGTGTGTGCGTGTGTGTGGGTGTGTGTGTGTGTGTGTGTTGGTGT